GTACTCAGTATCTGTAGCTCCAGCATCATCTGGTGTGACTGGGGTACAAGGTAGAATATTCAAGGAATTCATGAGCGGGAAGGTCTTCCATCCGTCTGACGCAGAAATCAACGAAAAATCCAGCTTGTAGTTATGCTTGCCCTGACTGCGAGAGACCTTCGTTGGGTGGAGGATAATGGGTGGAATCGTCTGAACCATCCCTAACTGTCGCAGAACACGAGCTGGCATATAAGGCTCACATATCTCACGGTACTGAATCCAGCCATAATAAAGTGTCCTCGGACATGTAACATGTACATCCTTACCGTATGGCATCCACACAACCTACAACAAATAATAACCAAAAAAAAAAAGAGTTAGTGATAACAAACAATAAATAATTATAAGAAATTTAACAATATTTAAGAACTTTGTAACTAATACTTACATCACTAGCCTCCAAATTGTCAAGTTGTCGCCGGTAACCATCTAATGCGACAGATGAAGCTTTGGATGCTTTTGAGTCCACTTTCCATCTGCATGTACGGGCTTGCCCCTCCTCTATAACATGTGGAAACATATGGGGTCGAAAGGTCGGAAAATACTCGTAGATCCAAGTCTGCAGAAGAGTGAGGCAACCAATGATACCTCCTGCATCAATTCTGCTAGCCATACCCATCTGTCGGTACATGTGCGCTAGAACAGCAGAACCCCAAGAATAACTAGACAGTGTGTCGATTCCCTTTTGGATCTCATGCAAAGGCCCAGGCCTAATTCTATTTCCACTCTTATCTACAAACAAAGTAGAACCCAAAGCCAGCCACAACCAACCCTCTACCTGTCTCTGGATATCAACCCCAGGATTCCTCATCAACGTATTCACAACAGAGACATTAGTAACCCCACCACTCTGGTAAAAAGAATGCATGTCAATCTTATCCACCTTGCACAATTTTTTTACCAACTCTTGCACCTCGGTAGAAGTAAGGTCCTTGTTTACCGGCTCACCATCTATAGGAATCCTCAAAATACGCTCAACACCATGCAACATTATGGTCATTTCACCAAATGGAAGGTGAAATGTGTTAGTGTCGGGCTGCCAGCGCTCAATAAATGCATTGATCAGGGAAACATCAATGGTATCATGCATGCAAGCAGGGAGGTGCGACAAACCTGTGCCGACAACCTCATTCCTCAAATCATCATTATCCTTCATCCACTCAACCAACCAATTCAATGTCAATGCCCGGGTATGCATCTTTAACGTCTTTTTTTCTCCCGTAGTCCAAACCTGATAAGCAACATGGACACAGAAACTCGGAATGATTGTCCCATCAATAGGGCCACCTGGCACAGGTTCTTTTACAAGCCATTCGGAACCAGACTTGCTTGAAGATGTCTTACTACCAACTGCAATAAATTAACAAAAAATCAAAGGAAGTTGTCTAAAGGAAGTCAAATTTGAATGAAAGATAATATTAATGAAAATAATTTAATTTCAGGGAAAACAAGAAATGATAATTGGGCAAACAACTGCTATAATAATGATAGTTTTAATATTTCTTTAACTAGTTAAATGGTTATAGTCGTAAAAATTATATTATTCTTTATTTTTTGTGCAATTTATATAGCAATTCATATAAAAGTAAAATAATTTTTAATTATAGCCTCCAAATTTATTATATGTTTTCAGTTAGTGTAGTGAGAACATAGTCCCAAGATAGTGATGTAACCTGATGACAACCTTCCAAGGTAATATACACTTGCTGCTGGAACCATATACAATTGCATTTCTATCTATTTATATGTCAGTTTTACAAACTAATAAATGTGTTCTCCAATTAAATTAAGAGACTGAAGGTTGCATTCTCCAATTAATAATACCTTAGACTTGGTAAACTAGCTATCTATTATTATTATTATTATTATTATTATTATTATTATTATTATTATTATTATTCTTATTATTATTATTATTATTATTATTATTATTATTATTATTATTATTATTATTTTGAAAGTTTACCTCGAGCTGGTGAGGGTGTATGTGAATCACTTCCTTCTTCTTCGTCAACATCATTTTCTTCTTCTCCACGTTCTTCTCCACGCTCATCTTGTTCCGAGTTATCATCCTCTTCTTCATTATGCTCGTCAGCCTCCGTGTCTAGGCGGGCCAGCCGACTGCATTTAG